CACTTTCTGACTGAATTCACAGCTGGCTCCACAAGATGAAACCCATACCTGGTATTGTTAAGTAGACCAAAACCCCACAGCTGGCTAGGTCACAGGCCTAAGAGGAGAACTTAATGCTATCATTCTGCTAAATAGACATAGTATCAAATTGCCTTCCAAATAATTATGGGTATAGATTAGTGCAGCTTTCAATCCTCATCAATGCCTCTTCTTGAAGTTAATAGGGACCCACAATTAATTAAAATGCAGAGATAAGTGGCCATGGAAAGCTTAGCTCTAAATGAGACATCCGTATCGCATTCTGTTCCCCATGAAACTCAAGAATCATTATGGAAGAGCAGGAAGGAAACACTGTAGGGGTAAGAGGTCAGAGAGGACTATTGGGTATCATGCTTTCCAGACATGACAGGGCTGTTGCACCCATAAACTCAAGAGCAGCTGTGGCTGCTTGCACAAGAACAGCACAAGATCAAACTAGTTCAAATTTCAGAATAAACGGGGAGGGACTAACACAGCACTCCTCTCAACAGAGTAGGTACTGGCAGCTGATGGCTCCTGGAGCTGCAGTGAATGATCCCACACCCACAAACATACTGGAAACACCAATCAAACTCAGTGGATTAAAGCGGACATGGAGGTGGGAGGCAGTCATAATGTAGTAGGTCTGGGAGGAGACTGGGAGGGGGAATCATGGGATGAATATAACCCAAATACACTGAATATGTGGGCTTTTGCAAAGAATAAACAAATACATTTTTAAATGACTTAAATTTTCTATTTTGCTTCTATTTAAAGTCATATCTATAAAAGTACAGATTTTTGGAAGTACCATTTAATAATAGGAAGAAATATGCAGGCACTTAAGAATTGGCTGAGCCATTAAGAATCCTTCATGTTCTTCTAGAGGACTCTAGTCTGGTTCCCAACACCCAAGTCTGGCAGCTCACAACCACCTGTAACTTCAGCTCCAGAGAATCTGACACCTCCTTCTGGACATCTTGGGCATCTAGACTTGCTTAGTAGACACACACACACACACACACACAAATAAAAATAATTAAATGAGCAGTTTAGCTTATGACTGACAAATAATAAATCTAAATAAATGCTATATCATTTTATAATTAATTCTGAGTATGGCTATGTAAGTATAAATCCTGTCTACACATGCTTACATTTTTATATTGTAGGAATGACAACACATTGGCTCAAAAGAAATACGTGCTCACAAACTATCCTTAGTGAGGTAACCCAGACTCAGAAAGACAAACACAGTATGTATTCATAAGTGAATATTAGATATAAAGCAAGGATAACCAGACTACAATCCACAGCTCCAGAGAAGTTAGAGCCTTCTTCCAGTAATTGATAGAACCAGATGTAGAGATCCACAACCAAGCACCAAGCCGAGCTTTGGGAATCCAGTCAAAGAGAAGGAGGAGGGAATATATAATAAGGGAAGTCAATATTGTGATGGAGAAATCTACAGAGACAGCTGAACCAAGGTCATCGAAACTCATCAACTCTGGACTGACAACTGTGGAGTCTCCATGGGACTGAACTAGGCCCTCTGCATGTGAGAGACAACTGTGAAGCTTGGGCTATCAGAGGTGCCCCTGGCAGTAGGACCAGGATCTATCTATCCCTGGTACATGAGCTAACTTGTTGAAGCCCATTCCCTATGAGGGGATGCCATGCTCAGCCTTAATACAGAAGGGAAGGGCTTGGTCCCACCCCAACTTAATGTGCCAGACTGTGCCAACTCCCTATGAGAGCTCTTACCTGTTGGGAGGAGTGGATAGGGGGTGGGCTGGGAAGGAGGTAAGGGGGGATGGGAGGAGGTGTGGGAGGGAGAACTTTGGTTGGAATGTAAAATGAAATTAAAAATAAATAAAAAGAAGTAAGTGCTCACATAAATTAAGACAGAGGCTGGAGAGATGGCTCAGCAAATAAGAGCATAGGCTGTTCTCCCAGAGGATCTGGGTTCAATTCCCAGCACCCATATGGCAGCTCACAACTATCTGTAACTCCTGTTTCAGGGGATCCAACACCCTCACACAGACATGCATGCCAGCAAAACACCAATGCACATAAAACACAAATAAATTATAACAAAAGAAATTAAGACAGTTAAATTGATACGAATTATTTCCTAGTTCATAATGTGACTAAAAACATTGAAAACTCAGCATTCTAACTCTGGCAATCATGACAGATTTAAGTTTGGCCAGCAGTCCCATATGCTAATTAGATTCAGTAATGAGAGTAAAAGAACAACAGCTCTAGAAATCAATCTGGTTCTGTCAGGGAACAAATCAAAGGGTTTGATGATTCCAGATCTTGCTTTCGGTATCTGGCCCAAACTTCTATTTAAAAAAAAAAAAAAAATTGTAATAATTTTTAAAAAGAGAAAGAATTAAGTCAAAGTGCAAGTGGTACACAGAATAGTCCTGGTTATCTGTTTGGTCTGTTTCCTAGCTGATCATTATCTCAGTTCTTATTCTGTAAGGTAACCAAAATGTTCCCATGATGCTCCCTGGAGCAGACTGACAGGGAGGCAACAGCAAGACATCACTAAGTAGAGGACTGTGGATCTGCCTGGAAGAAGTGATCTTACAGCTTTCTGGGGATGGAATTGGTTTCAAAGCAGGAACCAGGCTGCAGACTCTCAGATTAAAAGGCAGGAAAGGCAGGGGAGCCAATGCACCAGTGAAGAGGGGTGGCAAGCAGAACGTGTGGCCACTAGTGCTCACTTTGATGTAAGCTCACTTCTCCAGGTGAGAAATCCTGGCAAGTGTGTTAGCTATTGACTCAACATGACTTAGTAAGGTGGGTGTCAGTATCTGTGAGAGAGGAAGGTTGCTGGAGATGTTACTTCCTAAGCAATAGCTGGATCCTAATATTATATTCTTTCAGTAGCCACTCAAATTGTCAAGATGAGTGGGATGAGCAGGCTTGGGTCCAGGCCCATTGGCATTCATTGGCAGCAGGCTTCCTCTCTGGGCCAAGTGACTAATGAATGTATACTCTAGGTGGATGCCAGAAGCTGATAAATGGTCTAGACAAAGCAGCCAGCATGTCTAAGGATTGAGAGCTTTAAAAAGAACTGACTGTACCACCTTACATCACCACACCACCCTCTAGAGCCTTCTGTTAACTTCTGTATATACACACTCCTGTCCTCCCTAAGAGTTAGAAAACCCTGTTCAGGGTAACCATGGGGAACTTAGGGTTTTCTCCTAATGTAATACTGCATTCACATACAGTAAGGCCTACCTCTATCAGCACTCTGTCTTTTAAAAGAATGTGTAGACACTGGAAAGGTGGCTCAGCAGGTAAAGCCACCTGCTGCACGAGCCTGGTGACCTGAGTTTAACCCTGGGAACCTTTCATGAAGTTGCTCTCTGACCTCCAAAGTACAAGTTGTAACATGCAGGATATCAAATACACACACACACACACACACACACACTCTACCATGTATATTCACAACAATAATATAATACATAAATAAACATAAATAAAATTTAAAAACAAAAAGCAATGTCTAGAAATGCCTAAGGGCACTAGCAATTTGACAGAGCCCAGCTCTGGCCATCCACCTATGTGGATTTCCCCTTTTCCATGAGTACCAGAAGGTAAAAAACTTCAGGGCTTATTGCTAGTGCTAAGATTCACTGACTTATGGGCACAGGTCATGGAATTTAGAGGACGCTTCCCTTGAATCTGTGAGACTCATAGGAAAAGCAGGTGGCACCAAGAAGGAGCCACAGCAGGGAAAACACGGCCGCCTGCTCAGTGACACTCTACACCACAGGGAACATCTGCTTTCCAACAGTGTCAGGCCTACAGTGACTCCATTTCATTAAGCAACAACCTTGACCAGCGTGACTCCAAGCTGAAGTATAAGAGATAAGAGCTCCCCACCACCACCAAAGAAAGGCAGTCCGGCTTGTTTACACAAGTAAACAGCCAGTATCAGCCAGAACACCAGGAGGGACAATGATGACAGCTGAAAATACACCAAATCATATTAGACACACCACACAAATCGGCTTGTCAGTGCTACCACATGTTACCCCCTCACCTGAAACCATGGAAGGGGTACCCCAAGACAAAGTATGGCAGGCAACTGTCAGGAGACTTACCCACAGGGAAGAACTCCCCAGTTAGTCCTTGGACTCCAGTGCCGTTTCTCCTTCCCAGGACACTCAGCCAACTTAAATTGACTTACTCATGCTCACTGCATATACATTTGACATCTGTGCCTGCACTGCTAGGACATCATTTTTGGCCCCCTATAGACTTTTCTTTGCATCTGTCTCAGCTCAGTGCTTCCTACTTTGGAGCGGACTCACAACTCAACCATGTTTTAGCTCGTACCCATTCTGTAACCTACATATTTGTATATCTTTACGTGAAATGTTCATGCTATCCACCAGTTAATGTTAGTACTTAGGTTGTTATATAAGAACCCATGATTGCCACTGGCTGGCTAGCAAGCAAAATCAGGCATAGTTGGCTAATTGTTAACCACGAAACAGACATAACTTGTGGAATTATTTATTATCCGATAAATTCTGACACTGGGAACACACCAACTTGTCCCTCTGTTTCTGACAACACGTTCAGGACCCAAGGTCACCACACCCTGTGGTCCCTTATTTCCCCCCCCCCCCCAAACACATACACTCACACACAGGAACCCCAGAGTCCCGAGTCTCACGACACTGCCGCCACCGCCCAGGCTGCGGAGCCGCGAGGCTGCGGGTGCCCGGATGCCTAGGGAGGCCATGGCCACAGCCCTGAGCGCTCAGCAAGGGACAGGACCGCGACTCTGCCTGCTGGCCCAGCTCCACCCTGCGGGACCAGGGCACCGAGGCCCAGCCGAGCCAAATGAGTCTCAGACGCAGACTCAGCTGCTCCGGAGGCCGCGTCCCCACTGTCGCCTCCGCTTGCAACAGTCTCCTCCCACACCCGGGACGCCCGGCCGCACGCACCATTTTCCGTCACCGGGTTTCCTGGTGTTCTCCAGCGGCTCCTGTAATCAGTGGATGACACACAGACACTGGGGGGACAACCTGCGGGTCTCTCTCCAGAGAAGACACAAACGCCTAAAATGGCTGGACGGGAAGTGGCATCCCCGCTGCTGTGCCTGCCCTCTCCCAACATCTGAAAGCCTCATTGGACGGCTTATGCAGCCAAGCAACTTTTCTTATTGGCCAGTGAGTCACGTGCCCGCCTCCTAATGTTTAAATGACAGAAAAGACATCCTCTAGAGTGTACTGTGGCGCCAAATCTCAAATCGGAGCACAAGCCTTTCTGGGGTCTAACCTGGCCATGAGATTCTCAAACTCTTCTAGCTTTACAAATATCAAAGAGATGAAACTACTTTTGCATGGAATTAAACATAGGCAGAAGCTTAATCTTTAACAAGACAAAGATGTACGCTAAATTCTGTTTGCACGCGTGAGAAATGGCATAGGAGAGGGTAAGCCTGATGTGAGTTATACCTGTTTGGCTCAGCTTCTAGTGTTCCCTCTCCCTTTGCTGTCAATGCTGTCACCAAGGTCTCTGTCCAAAGTCTCTGTGCCTGGCAATTTACACACTCTCTTGGAACTCTCTCTCTCTCTCTCTCTCTCTCTCTCTCTCTCTCTCTCTCTCTCTCAGAATTGATTAACTTTATGTGCATTGATGTTTTGCCTGCATGTATGTCTGTGTGAGGGTGTCAGATCTTGGAGTTACAGACAGGTGTGAGCTGCCATATGGGAATTGAAGCCCGGTCCTCAGGAAGAATAGTCAGTGCTCTTAACCACTGAGCCATATCTCCAGTCCTTGAAAGTCTGTCTTGAACACAGTACCACTATTGACCTCACACAGTCATTTCTATGGCAAAACATTTTGGGAATGAAGGGACACAAAGCCATTCGAAACATCAAAGATTCTGCAGGAACTGTAAGGGTTAGGCAGGTCCCAACGGAGCTCCAGGACATCAAACACATAAACCTGGAAAACTCCACAGATGACTTCTAGGGCAGTCGTTCCTGCTTTCGGGTCCGCCAGCCTGACTGGGGAGGTAAAAGAAAGTTCACAAAGAAAGGGCAGAAGTTAGAAAGGAAGCCTGGATGGAGAAGATTATTTCTGAAAGGCTGCTCTGGGTGGTGCGGGCCTTATAGGAGGCCAAGGAAGAAGCAGAGAGCGGACAAGAGATTCCTGCAGTGAGTCGGGTGGAGGCTGTGCGGGCTTGGAAGAAGGTCCGGAGAGCCGGCAAACAGGTATTTTAAGTGATCTTTTAGGAAGACGGGAGCAGAGAAAGGAAAGCTGTGAGACTTGAGACTGCAATCAGCAAGCTGACTAGATGGCATCTGTAGGTTTTAAGAATTTAATTTTTAAAAATTTTATGTTTGGTTTCTGTGTGCCTGCCACATGTGTGCAGTTGCCCATAGAGACCAGAAGAGGGCGCTGGATCCCCGAAAATGGAAGTCCAGGCTGCGGGTAGGTGCCAGTACGGAATTTGGGTACTTTGCAAAAAACAGGACCACACTCTAAACCACCAGGGAGAAAGCTCTCCAGCACCCCAACATTCATACATCAGACCCGCATCCAGCTCTCTCTCCTTCGCATTTATAAAAGCTTCATTTAATATGCACTGTCAAATTAGCAGGCTCTACTCCTTGTCTCTATTGTTTCCTTTTCACATGCTTGCCGGGTTTTCAAAGTTTCTGGTGTCAGTCTCCTAATGGCTGGGGCTGCTTTAGGTTATCTGATTATATTTCTTTACCTATCCCTCCACTTTTAACAAAATTATCCCCTGCCCTCTCTCATGTCCCCACTACCCCCTTGTCCTTACTTTTTCCTTGTCTATTGTTTGTTTGTCTTCAACAAAGGAATAATTGCCACCTTTATTTTTCTTTTCCTTTCTACTCATATCCAGTGTAACTGGTACACTTGTGAAAAAAAAAATCATGATAGTCTTGCACTTCCTAAAATGATTGGCATTTGAGGGATGATAAGTTTGGTTTCTTTTATTTTAATGTGTTGTCATAGTGGGCCTACCCATGGGTAGTGATATTTTTGCAGACAGTATTTCCCATTTAGCATGGTAGTCCAAACATTATGGAGCAGAGTTTTTTTTAGTTTTGTTTGTTTGTTTGGTGGGTTTGGTCTGGTTTTTCTCTACAGGCTTTCTCTGTATAGCTTTGAAGCCTATCCTGGAACTCGCTTTGTAGAACAGGCTGGCCTTGAACTCACAGAGATCCACCTGCTTCTGCTGGATTAAAAGTATGGGCCACCACTGCCCAGCTTATAGGGCAGAGTTAAACAAAACTTCAACCCTGCTACAACCTGAAAATTGCAAACAGTTCCATTTGAAAAAAAGCAATGTGATTAAACACACATACACACACACACACAACACACACATGCATGTGTGCATGCAATGATTTAACTCAAAATTAAAAAAAAAAGCTTTAAGGCAAAACTACAGTAAACATTAAAAAAAAAGCAAGGCAACACAATCCCACCAAAAAATACTAATCCCATAGTAATGGCCTCCAAATCAAGTAAATTAGATGAAATTTTAGACAACGAAATCAAAATAATTATTTTATGTGCACATGCACACAAATAGAAGCCACAGAACATAAAAAGGGGACATCACATGGCCTTTGGGCCTCACTTGCTGACAACTTATAAAGAAGTCTGTCCCCACTGGCACTGTGATTTCATTTAGCAATTTTATAGCTTTGGACTAAATGTGCCCACACCAATGGGCTCCTAAGAATTTCACTGAGGTAGACGGCCCTTGAATTTTGACTGGATTTATTTACCATCCTCTGATGTGCATATTATATCATCACTGAGTCTAAAATGGTTGCTATCTCCTACTCACTTGTTCCAGTAACATAATGTCATTACTATACTGCACAAATGTGCTATTTTGTCGAAGAGGCAGACAATCACAATCTCTTCTAACTAAGTTATGACACAAAGCTGGACAGGTAATATATCCTGAGGTAGAGCTGTAAAAGCATACTGCTGGCCATGCCAACTGAAAGCCATGCCAACTGAAAGCAAACTGCTTCTGGTGGTCCCTTTGGACAGGTACCAGGCAAAAAAGAATTCACTAGATCAATAGTTGCACAGAATGTGCCAGGAGTCTGCTCAAGTAAGGACACCAAATCGGGTATGGCAGCTACAAGCAGCATCACTATTTGGTTGAGTTGCCATTCTCCACAGTTCATTTGCCTTCTGCACTGGACAGATAGAAGAGGTAAGGGGAGATGTGGTGGGAACCAACACTCCTGCATCTTTCGAGTCCTTGATGGTGGTGCCAATTTCTGCAGTTTCTCCAAAGATGCAATACTGCTCTTGATTCCCTATTTTCCTTGGTGGAGGAAATGCAAAAGCCTTCCATTTAGCCTCTCCAAACATAATAGCCTTCACTCCACAAGTCATGAAACTAATGTGAGAATTCTGCCATCTTTAAGTATATCTATCCCAAATATTCATTCTGGGTGTGGGAAAATAACTAGAGGATAAGTTTGGGACTCACCAACGGAACCTACTGTGAGTTGGACTTCAGCTAAAACTCCAATAATAACCCGGCCTCCAGATGCTCCTGCTTTAACTGGGGGGAGGTGTCACAATGTTTCATGGGATCTCCTGGAATGAGCATTACTTCTAAACCAGTATCCACTAGACCTTGGAGCTATCCTTGTAAAAGACTGTAGGTCCCTCCCAGGAAGGACTGAAGAAAGGCTAATAGCAAGATTTTTAGATATTTTATCCTCAGAGGAACCTGGCCACCTCTTCGTCCAAGTGATTCTAGGTCTACAAACTGGTTCAAGTCTGGAAATTAATTCAGGGGCCGAGATTCCCTTTTGCCACGATCCAATGTAGCCTTTCTTTCATTTGTTTGAGGTTTTTGGCTTTTTCTTTTTTTTAATACAGGTCAAATTCTGTAGGCTTATCTGGTTCTTGCCTAGAAACACCATGATTCATTAACTAGTATCAAAGGTCCATATGAGACATGCCACCATAAAATTCACTTTACCTGTGCTGACTATTATGGGTTAGGGCACAGTGGTTCTTAACCTCTGGGTCACGATCCCTTTGGGGGTTGAATGAGCCTTCCACAGGGATCACATATCAGATATCCTGCATTTCAGATATTTACATTATGATTCATAACAGTAGCAAAATTACAGTTATGAAGTAGCATTGAAACTTATGGTTGGGGTCCCCACAACATGAGGCACTGTATTCAAGGGTCATGACATTAGCAAGGTGGAGAAACATTGGGTAAGGCCATTATGGACATTGTTTTGTCTGCACTGCCCATTATGATACATACCTATGGTCACCTTGCCTTTGGTGATTGATTGTTGCCTCTGGACCCAGTTAAACCCATTGCACTTAATTCATCTAATTGAACAAGCAGCATCTAAACCCCTAAGGTCTGGCACAAGAAAAAGGATGTGACAAAGCTCTTCAAATGTGCTGATGCCCCTCTCCAGTGTGGTGTGTGTGTGTGTGTGTGTGTGTGTGTGTGTGTGTGTGTGTGTGTGTTTTAGATTAGATTTAGATTGTGCAAGATTAGGTTTTACACAGTGTATCTATGTAGCATTTCAGTTTCCTTCTTAAAATCCCCTCATCAATACTAAGCCAACAGATATCAGGCATCTCCAACTTCTTTTCAGTAGGACATCTTTTGACAACTGTTTCAGCCAACCAATCAAACATACTTTTGAACTAAATGAGCTTTCGTATTAAACTTAGCTTTTCTACTCAGTGCACCCATAACAATGTGGTAATATTTTGTTTATGATCTAACAAACAAAAACTTGCCTGAAGATCAGAGTTTGGAACTACCTCCAACATTTCACTTTGATCAGTAAACATCAGAGCAGAAGCAGAAGGAATACAAGAGCCTAGCTGGGTGTTGTGGCACAAGCCTTTAACCCTAGCACTTGGGATGCAGAGGTGGGCAGATCTGTGTGAGTTGGAGGCTAACCTAGTCTACATAGGGAGTTCCAGGGCATCCAGAACTACATAGTGAGATCCTGTCTTGAAAAATCAAACAGCAACAAGCGTATGTCAGAGGCCTGGAGCCTTGTGTAGCTATTTCCTACAAACTGAAATCTTTCTCCATTGGCAGG